CTGCTGTGTTCATCCAGCTCTGCACCTTGTTATCTCAGATTCTCCAGCATCTGCAGTTCCTACTATCTCTGAAACAACTGCCCAAGTGTTTGGGGGTCACTGTAGCTCAGTGTTTAGCACTGCTGCCTTACAGTACCAGGGACCCAAAAATCATTTCCATCCTTGCGCGACTGTCTGTGTGGTTTACACATTTTCCCCATGTCTGCGTGGGTTTCCTCCAGGTACTCCAGTTTCCTCTCACTGTTCAAAGATGTGCAGGCTAGGTGGATTAGTCATGGGGAATGCAGGGTTACAAGGAGAGGGTAGGGGGTTGGGTCTGGATGGGATGCTCCTCGGAGGGTCAGTTTAGAGTCAATAGGCCGAATGATCTGCTTCCACACTGTAGGGATTCTATGAAATAAATACTGCGGCTACAAGAATAAGTCAGAGGCTGGGAATATTGCAGTGAGTGACTTATCCCCTGACTCCATCATCTACAAGGCACATTGTCACATGCATTTGCACTACATCCTCAAATGTTCACTCCCTCCACCACCAGTCCACAGTAGTGGCAATGTGACGATCTACACCTAGAAATTCACCAGTGTTTCTTAGCACCTCTTAGCATCCATCTGAAAGGAGAAGTGCAGCAGACACATGGGTACACCAGCACTTTTAAGTTCCCTGCCAAGCCACTGACCGTCCTGACTTGGAACATGTATCACCATTCCTTCAGTGTTGCTGAGCCAAAATCCTAATGCTGCCTCCATGGTATTGCAACATCAAATCTACTGCAGTGGTTCTAGAAGGCAATTCAACACCACCTTCACTAGGAATGGCCAATAAATGTTCAGCCAACCAGTGAGGCAAGCACCCTTCAAGTGGTGATCATCTTCTATGCCAACCTGAGATGCAGACCTGGCCTTGTATGAGAGATGGCACCTCAGACAGTGCAGCTTTCTTTCAGTACTTTCAGGTACAATGGCTCGGTGGTTAGCACTGCTGCCTGACAGCACCAGGGACCTGGGTTCAATTCCAGCCTTGTGCAACTATCTGTGTGGAGTTTGCACATTCTCCCTGTATTGAATGGGTTTTCTCCAGGTGCTCCTCAGCTTAGATGGACTGGCCATGCTAAATTGCCCACTGTGTGCAGGCTAGGTGGATTAACCATGAGAAATGCAGGGTTGCAGAGATAGGGTAGGTGGTTGGGTCTGGGTGGGATGCCCTTGGAAGGTTGGTGTGGACATGATCGGCCAAATGGCTTGCTTTCACACAGTAGTGATTATATGATTCTACTGAACATTGAAATGGAATATGTATGATTAAATAGAAGTGTAACAACTTTCAATAATTACATTAGTTAGTAAAGTAACATTTTCATACCCATAAATTATCTGGAACATGATTGCTATGTCAGGTAACTAATCCTAGATCTCAGGACTGAGCACTGTATGGAGCTTTGATTAATGAATAACAAGCAAATTTTCTCCCATTTTTTTAACTAGTGGATGGGACAGTAAACTATGGAGTGTTTGCACCGCTGGCAAGGCTGGCTATTGATGTCTATTTTGCCCTGAACTGATTTGTTCTTGAGGCTATTTCAAAGGACAGTTATGAGTCAACCACATTGCTGTGGGCCTGGAGTGATGTGCAGGCCAGTCTGGATAAGAATGGCATATTTTCTTCGCTAAAGTACATTAGTGATCTGGATAGGATCTTGTGGCAATTGACAAAAGTTACATGGTTGCCACTAGGCTACTTTTTAAAAATTCCAGATATTATTAAAATTAAATTTGACTATCCGCAGTACAGAGATGTAAGCCTGTACCCCCTGAATATGAGCCAGGGTCTCTGGATTACTTGTCCTGAGTTTTTCAGAATTGAATAATTTGCTGGAAATGATATTATATACATATAAGGCATCAGTACAAGTGATTCTTATTATAATTACAGAATTGCCTGAAGCATCACCTTCTGATCTCTATTCCTGAAATTCCTGATTTGTGGATGAGGTGTGATTTGCTCCTTAGGCTTGGTGAGTCACTCACCCACCCATCTAAGCAGTGTGAAAAATACGTCTGAGCATTCATTCAGCAAAACCATAAAGATGCTGTGCAAAAACCAGGCACTCCACAGACAGATGAGGGGAAGACGGTCTATAGATGGACCTGAAAGAAAGACTTTGGTTCTCATAAATCCGGTGCATGCAGACCCTTTGCATATGGTGTTGGTTAATGATCTTCAGTAAGTCATAGTTTCTCTATTGTCATCAGTTCATGTAAAAAATGGAATTTGAAAGTGGATTTTTGTACCATCTCATTCCATTGCTTCCTTTTACTCAATCAGAAATCTAAAACATCAGTTTCGTGATGCAGTGATATTGAGTACAGATGATTATTTCATCAGAGAAGATGGCTCATATTTATTTCAGAAGTACTTACTTGATGAAGCTCACGAATGGAACCATGAAAGAGGTAAATACTGAGATTCTTCATGGTATTCTAATTTTGTTAAAATTACATTTTAAATGCTCTGCATTCAGTGTACTACATTGTAACTAATGTAATTATATAATGGATCTACTTACAGCCAAATCAGCCATGAGACTAGGGAGGTCTACAATTATTATAGATAATACCAACACCGAAGCATGGGAAATGAAACCATACGTAAATATGGTATGATCTAGATTTTCAACTAATTTATTCAGTATCTAATATTGATGAATGCACTAACTAGGTTGTTTGAAACAATGCTTTAAAAATCTGGAAAAGCTCAGCAGTTATGGCAGCATCTGTGGAGAGAAATCAGAGTTAATGTTTCGGGCCCAGTGAGTTCTGAGGCACAGTCACTGGACCCAAAACATTAACTCTGATTTCTCTCCAAAGATGCTGCCAGACCTGCTGAGCTTTTCCAGCAATTTCTGTTTTTGTTTCTGATTGCCAGCACCAGCAGTTCTTTAACTTTTTAAAAATCTGATTTGCTAGTCTTGATTTTCCGTATTCTGTGATAATCTTTTCATTCTAGTTTCTATTCTGTATTCTCATGTTATAACCGTGTTTATTCTGATTCCTGGAATTCTGAATTTTTTTACATCAGTTGTGATCTTTTTCAAGTGGCAGAGCAGGCTCAATGGACTGAATGGCAGACTTTAGCTCCTACCGCTATGATCTGCAGGCCTGTGGTGTGCTCAATTCTTTTATCGTTACACATGGCTACAGATTCTTTTAGCTGTTTGAATCCATATTGCATTTTTAAAAATATATACAAGGAATTTATCATGATAGTTTAAGGCAATACTTTGAGCAATTTAAATGTTAAAATACCTGCAACCTCTTTCAAGAGATTAAAAATGATAAAAGTGTATAACTGTAGAAACACGAAACAAATTTGGTCCCATTTCTAAAGTTATTCCTTTCCTTTCCTTGAGAATCCTTAACCTGGAAGTCCTTAAGATAACCACAGTTTCTTGTAGGACTGTGCTCTGACCTCAAAAGCAATAGTTCAAGAATTGTATTACAGATCTCTCTGTTTGCTTTGAGGTATTTTCTCATGATGTTTCATTGACTCTGTGTTGTCCTGTGTATTGCATTGTAGTATAATAAATATTTTATTACATAAGGCAAAGAAATCTCATTTCCAATAAACTTATGTACTTAGTTTGAATTGATTTTTCACTTATTTTTCAAGGATCGCTAAGCAAAGAGCCTTAGATTTTAGATGGATATGCATCAAAAAATATTAGATTAGCTCTTCAGATTTCAAGCTTTCAATTAATGTTTTGTCATCAACAGGCACGAGAGAATGGTTATGAAGTGAAATTCCGAGAACCAGACACACCCTGGAAATTTGACATTAGAAAATTAACAAGGTTTCTTTCAACTTTTTAACTGCTTGATGTGTGCAAGTGACAGTTGCTATGAAAATAGAGCCATCCATAGTGATTTGTTTTATATATGACAAGAGGGAAGACTGAAGGTAATCAGAATTATTGTCGTCCACGGAATCCCAAACCTATATTCGGCATATCAAAATACACAAAAGTTTTTTAAAAAAGTAAACTGACCATGTGGCCTAACCAGCTGTGATAATCTGTACCCTCCGTGTCTGTTATCCTTCATCCACCTATCCAATAAATCTTGAATTTTGTTACCTTTTCTGCCTCAGCTGCTAACTCTGGAAGTGAACTCAATTACTTCACAACTCCTGATATAATGAGACAACAAGGTGCAGGGCTGGATGAACACAGCAGGCCAAGATAATATAGTCATATTATCTATTTTACCAAAGAAAGCTCAATTTTTAAAGTATGTTATTCGATCTTCTTATACTGAAGAATCTGCATACTTATTGTCCTTATAGTCTCTCTTCCTTCATTATAATTGCTTTCTAAACCTTTGAGTTACCTCACCCTAATCCTGAAATGATGAGTTCAATGCTTCCTTTGTTTATGGAATAAATTTAATCTGTGCGACTGCAGTTGTAAAATAATCCCACTGTTACTATATAACTCTGTCTTATCTCAACTAACTCATTCTTTTCTAAAATCTACCCTAATCCAATTTGGCTTCCAGTATTTGAAACTAACCTTTCTCTTACTAGTTGGTTTTTAAACCTTAAATATTGTGGTTTGGCTACTGTCCCAGAACTGCTAATCCACAATTTGCTTGTATACACCAGCTATTTTGTTACACATAACCAGAATAATCAGTGTCTCTGTGTCTATGTCGGAAATAGGAATTTTAACATGAACACTAATAAAAATTATGGTGTTATGATGGAGAGTAGCTAAGAGTAGGAAAAAGATGGTCCTGTTGATGAACGAAATGCTGGTGTACAACATCTTTGGTTCAGTTGAATGATTGACATTAATGGTCAGTGGAATCAGTACTTGATATTAATCAGACAGTGTGCATTTCTGGAATAAATTTTGTGGCAGAAGTGAAATTAGGTAGTGTTGAAGTAAATTGCTTCCAACTAGATAAGATTAAGAAGAAATTTTTCAGTAGACTAAAGTTCTTTACCTCGAAATTTATATCTCTTGCTTTCCTGACAGATTATGCCGATCACTATTAAGTGAGTGTAAAAGTAGGGGAGACAGCGAAGGAATGCTACTGTCAATGAATAGTAATCCAGAGACCCAGTCTAACACACTATGGACAGATGGTGAATTTGAATCCAATTAATACATTAGTACAACTTGAATTAAAATCAAATCTAATGGTGAACCTCTCTGGATTGCTTCCAGTGCCAGTGTATCATTCACTAGATAAGAGAGCCAAAACTATATTACATTTGTGGTCTGACCAGTGCCTCATACTGTTTTAGCAAGACTTCCCTAATTTTATACTCTGTTCCCTTTGAAATAAAGGCCAACATTTTGTTTGCCTTCTCTATTACCCTCTGAACTTGGATGCTAACTCATTGTGATTTAGGTATGAGGACTCTCAAACGCTCTGTACTGTGGCTTTATGCTGTGTGTTCACATTCAAATAATATTTAGCTCCTCTGTTCTTCCTGCCTAGGTGCATATTCTCACATTTTCCACATTATATTCTATCTGCCAAGTTTTTGCCTACTCCCTTAATCTGTCTATATTCCTCTGTAGACTCTTTGTGTCATCTTCACCAGTAACTTTCTCATCTATTTTGACTTGGGTACATTCATTTTCCTCATCCAAGTCTTTAATATACGTTGTAAATAATTGTAGCCCCAGCACTGATTGCTGTGACACTCCACTAGTTATAGGTTGCCATCCTAAAATGCCCCTCTTATCTTGACTCTTTGTCTTCTATTAGTTAGACAATGCTCTATCCATGCTAATATAATACCTCCAATACAATGAACTCTTATTAAGTAGCCCAATTTGTGGTATCTTATCAAAAACCTCTGGTAATCCAAATATATTGCATTCACTGTTTCCCCTTTATTTATCCTGCACATTATCCCTTCAAAGAATTCGAATAAACTTGTCAGACATGATTTATGAACCTATGCTGACTCTGCTTGATGATATAACATATTTCTAAATGATCTGCTATTACATCCTTTACAATAGAGTCTTAGTATTTTCTCAATAACAGATGTTAAGCTAAGTGGCCTATGGTTACCTGTCTTTTGTCTCTTTTTAAATAAAGGTGTTACATTGGAAGAGTGTTATATTGTTCCATTGGAGGTGGTTCACAGGAGCTTTACTAGCTTGATACCTGAAATGACCAGGTTGTCTTAAGAGGACAGATTGAACATGGGCTGGGTTTGTTTTCACTGGAGTTCAGAAGAAATGAGGGGTGACTTGAACAGTCACTGTTGAGATCCAGCTGATTTCAGCTGTCATCAGATTCTGAACAGCCTTGACAAGGGGAATGTGAAAAGATGTTCCCTTTTGTGGATGAGTCCAGAACTTGGGATACAATTTTAAAATTTGGGGTTGCCCTTTTAGGACAGAGATGAGAAATCTTTTCACCCAAAGGGTTGTGAAACCTTGGAACCCTCTGCCTCAGAATTCGGTGGAGGCAGGGTTGTTGAATACTAATGTGGATAGATTCTTGTTAGGTTGGGAGATGAAGGGTTAATGGAGGTAGATGGCAATATGACATTTGGAACAGATCAGCCTTTTCTATTGAATGGCGGAGAAGGATTGAGGGGCCATGTGTTATTTTCTGCATTAAGTTAGTAATTCTGCCCTTACTTTATGTAGAGCAACAGGCTTTAATTATTTTTTAAGATTTTGTAACCCAGGACCAAAATTCCAGTAAAAGAGCTGGCTGAAAGGACACTCCCTTCCCCCAGATGCATTAATGGTGTATCTGTAATAGGACTGCCTGCCAAACCTGATAATGGTGTTGTCTATGCAATTTGGGATAGAGACAGTGTCTTTAGTCAGGAGTCTTAGCCCTCCATTATTAACAGAACTTTAGTGGTGTCTACTCAGGACTGCCAATTGAAACAATGAGATGACTCCATGCCATCCCAGAAGAGACCTTTAGAAGCCTCCACTACCGATGAATGGAGGGCACCGTCAGCAGTTTATCAAACTCAACCTAGCCAGGGTTTAACCCATGACCTTCTTATCTACCATCATAGAAAATGACTAATTGCAAAATTTATGGCAGAAATTCTGGTGCAACTGGATTCCTCTCTATTTTCTGGCCCTTATTTAGTCATTCTGGCAGGTTCCTACTTGAGTTCTAATTTAAATGGTGTAATTCTTGTTTCTAAATGTATAGCTGCTACATGTCCTAATACAGGTATTTCACCTTTCATAACCAAGTGCTAGGCCCCAATCCATCCGTGAACAATGACAACCAGCAACTAGTCTTTGCAGAGATAAGTCATCCTGCTCCAAACTTTTTTCTAACTACTTGGATTTTTATGATTGCCGAGCAGTGTTTGTAGTCATTACTGTGTGTTGTTGAATTCAGTTTCACAGTTTGCTGTGGAAAGATTTCAGTTGTTAAATTGCACGTGGCCAGTCCAATCTCATAACCACCAGGATATTGTACCAATTTAGCTTCTCATCTGAAATATAGCATCCATGACAAAAAGCGCCAACCCTTGAGAATAGACAGTAAGTCATATATTTATCCTGGACTGGGCTTGAAGGCAGAGATGAGTGTGCTTTCAAGTTGACATTTGCTTTTAATGTCATAATAATATTAAGATAAAGCAGTCATATAACTTGTAAAATACAGTGTTCTTTAAATATATTTATGGTGTACAGTGAAATTTATACTTTTTTTCTGAATGTGTGCAGAATAAATTCACATGGTGTTCCGAGAGAAACAATTGAACGAATGAAGGAACGGTATGAGAGGAATATCACTATTGACAAAGTGCTGCATGCAGAAAGGGAAGCCTGAAATAATTGATGCCAAAGTTGTCAACAGGTTGCTTTCAGAAGAGGAACAGGAGCTATACTGGGGAAGAGTTTGTACAAACTCAGCACATTTAGATTTAATACTAGTTACATAAATCCAAGACAACCTGCCTAGGTTGATAGATCCAACAAATTCAGATTTTAAACAAAATCAAGCAAAACAATTTGATGTTTTTACTCAACTTTAAGAAAAGGCTTTATCACTTCAGGTCTTTGAGCACAATTAAGGATAACAAATGTTATTAACAGATTTTATTCCTTAGTAATTTTTGTCAAGTACAGTTTGGTAAACATTTTAATATGACTATTGGTTATGATCCAGCAATTACTGTAGTAAATGTCCTTGATGTAATTTTTTTTTAAATGCTCTGACTTTTAATTGCATCTTAATACAGGTTTAAATTGTGAAATCTCTGTAACTGTTTGTACTCCTAACTACAGATGTGTAATTTAATTCCTGTTGTCTGCAGTTACTTTCCATTCTTTCTCAGGATGTGGGAGATGTTAGCATTTATTGCTCATCCTTAGTTACCATGAGAAGGCAGTGGTGAGTAGCCATGTGTCTTGAACTGCCACACCTTTTCTTTTGTAGCAGTTTGTTACAGCTGAGTGGATCGCTAGGTCAGAAGACAGTTAATGTTAACCACATCATCATTTCTCTGCAGCTTATGTCTACCAGATGGGTGTTGCTGGCACGGACAATATTTGTTGCCCATCTCTAATTGCCTTTGAATTAAGTGGCTTGCCAACCATTTCAGAGGGCAGTTAAAATATTACTGTTGTCTGGATTCATATGCAGACCAAAACAATTAAGGGCAGCAGGTTGCCCTCTTTAAAACATTAGTGAACTAGATACAGTTTTCTGACAATTATTGGTCATTTCAGGGTCACCATTAATTATTGAGACTATCTTTATATTCTAGATTATTCTGTTGGGATGATAGCTCATGTCCCCAGGGTCTTATTCTGGACACCTGGGTTAGCAGTCTAGTGGGTCACTACTGCATCACTGCCCGATGATAATCTCTAAGAGGCATTATGAACCTTTTGTTCTTGTTTGACTTCATGGCTGCCTTTCCTAACATCAGCTTTTCATTTCCAGGTTCGAATCATTTAATTTTGTTTTGTACTTTTTAACCAGGATATGTGAATATGTTTTATAATATGAGAACAGGTTGGGACCAAAAAATGGACAAATAAAATACTTTGTTACTTTTCACATGTTTTGCCAGATGTTTAATTACAAGGGTACATGCAGTCAACTTAATTTTAAAGAGAATGAGTATGACGTTCAGATTGGCTCAAAGCTGAAGGTCTGCAAACCTATGTGAAAATGCATGCCTCTAGTTGGAGCTAATAGCATTATCACACCAAGCTTAAAAAATTCTTTGGAATTTTTAAAAAAAACTTACATCAAATCTGTTGTAAAGCAGAATTCTGTGGATGCTGGAAGTTTGAAATAACACCAAAAATGCCAGGAATGCTCAGCTGATCGGATAGCATCTGTGGAAAAAGAAACAGGGCTGATGCTTCAGGGAGGCGACCTTATAAATCTGTTGTTTACTGTTTGCCACTGTTGGAACGGAATGACTCAATGATTCATTCACTCCCTGGTTGCACTTCATTGTCAAGGGTGTTTTATAGTTTATACTAGTTGGGAAAGAAACCTCTGCACGGCCAGAAGCTTCTTCACTTGAACAAAGGGAAACATACACTTTTATACATTTGCTTTCAGCCTGGCTTAGCATTTTACAAACAAATTGCAACCCGATTGCATTATTAAATGATTATATGTGCATCCAATCAGGTTAGTCATGTGACTGCATGACAGTTCAAGGTCTTCCCATGGTCTCATGATGTTTTCAACATCCCTTATCATCTATCCTTGGGCTTTCACAATGCATCTTATTCAACCACATTCCAGGCTTAATTCCAGCGTTAGTTATTCAGTACCCCCGCAGTAACGGGAAAAGGGGATCTGTTCTTACTGTCTAAAGCTGACTGTCCACAGGAATTCAGTTAAATACCTTAATGTTGAATATATCTTTTAAAAACTTGTGTATAATGAATGGTTACAATCATCAAAAGGATCTTAGGTAATGCGAGTTAGCTTTTCCCCCTTCTATCCCATGCTCAATACCAGCCTTTGGTCCAGCCGAGTATGGAGGCTTTTATGGTCATTTCTCGAGGATGTTCTTCGTCAAACTGACTTTCCAAGTAGCAGCTGCATCTGTTTCTGTGTAAGAGTTCATTGTATATTTCAAAGGACCCTATAATGGTTATCTTTATCTAGTTACTTTGAATTTACTCCCTCTATGATGACATCTATTTACTGTTGCTTATAGTTTGACTTGAAACAGCAGACCGTGTAAGCTGCTTTAGCTAAAAATCTCCGTCAGCCATTCTATGGCAACCGAGATTGCTTTCGGCCATTTTATATTAACTAACAACTATGGCAGTACTAACAACAACCAAACCACATTTGAAATAAGGAATCAAAACTCTTCAAAAGGACAGAACATGGGAGAAAGAAAATAGTTAAACAGACATTTAGCAAACAAAAGTGGAAAAGGAATAGATTTTCATTGATGTTTAAATATTATGTTGCTTTTTCATACATAACACATTTTTGTTCTTAATTCTTTAGTTACATAGTAACTGGTCATCAGTAATGTACAAGATTGAACATTGAACTCATGTAATTCTGGAAGTACATAAATATTTTAGGAGCCAAGAACATCCCCCACTGAAAGCTTTATTTAAGCTGATCCTGATCTACAGTTTTTCTTCTGTACATGTAACTCTCCACTAGAGCAGTCAGAGGGTTGGTAAATGCCTGTAGTAGTCATCAGGCAGGACATAATGTTAATCTGATATAACCCTTTAAGATAAGAGTTCCTAAAAGACAAATCAAGGTAATTGTAAATATTTATGAGCTGTCAACCAAATGTCAGTCATAATTAATTGTCAGTAAGTTTCAGACTCGCAAGCAAATGATTGGCTTTTCTTTCAAGGCTGTTTCAGTTTAAAATTGCACAACATATTGAACTCATAACCCCTAGATATCAGACTTGTGTCCAAACTCACAGGCAGCCCTTGGTGTTAGTAATGCTGAACTGTAAATTACACCATGCACTGGGCAAGTTATTCTAGTGAATAGCAGTGTACATGCAGCCACTGCAGAAGCTTTGCCATCCACACATGGTATAAATTTCAGGTACAAATTCAAGATTATTGTGTGATATTATTCAGATACATTAGTAGCAGAGGTCTTTGTCATCTCCCCACTGTTGACTGTTAATATAACAAAAGCAAAATAATGTAGATGCAAGGAATCTGAAACAGAAAGCAAGATTCAAGGAATGTTGAGATTTAAAAGCTAAGGAGATTACATTAAAATGTTTTAAAATAAAGACTTAAGAATTGAACAAGCATCATTAATATCAATGAGGACACAATTGGGTAATTCTGAATTTGTGTGACTGTAAAATGGCTGATGGCAAATGAGCAACTAGCTTTATGGTCTGAATCTTTACCATCTGATATCTAAATGATAATCTTGGGAGTTTCATAGAGGTTTTTCGTTTATAAGCCCTGGCAAGTTCCCTCATGTAATCTTCCAGTGTTTACCTCATTAATTAGACAAGTGGGTTCCACGGTGCCAGTCTTGTTAACTCCCCAGCTGTGCACCACTTCAAGCAGTGCAAACCAGGAATGACCATTCCAAATTTGCTGCTGCATCAGCTTTTGGAAGGATTTGGGCAAGAAAGTGAAGTTGGCATCCCCATATTGCTGATAGCAACCTGGAGGTCCTAATGGATGAGGAGATGGAGAGGAGGGTTGTTCTCTTAACAACTTCCAGCAGAGACCATAGCACCAAACCCTGCCAGCCTGGGCCAGGATAATCAGCCAGGTGAATGCAGTTTCCACAGTCTAGGAATGCCAGACTACTGAAAGATGGTCAATGACCTTCTGGGGGGGTGGGGGTGTTGACAGGGAGGAGTAAAATTCCAAGAAGTATAATGGTCAATGGGAAACAAAGCAGCAGGTTAACATGTGGGGGTAGATTCAACTGGAAAAGTATGAAAAAAATGAAAAGAAAGGAGAACTCTGGAGTGATTATTAAAGTCTCCAGAACACAAAATAGGACAGAGTGTTTGGAAAGGGTTAGGTATCAAACTTCAAGCATTCTGGATAAAGGGATAATAATGAGAAGAGGGAAGGTAAATACAGAACTGAAGGTGTTGTATCTGAATGCACACAGTATATGAAATAAGGTAAATGAGCTTGTGGCGCAGATCGAAATTGGCAGGTATGGTGTGGTGGGCATCACGGAGATGTGGCTGCAAGGTGATCAGGACTGGGAGGCAGAGAGGATGGAGTTGCCTTATTAGTAAGAAATGAAACTAAATCAATAGCAAAAAACAATGTAGGGTCAGATGTAAAATCTGTAGCTATAAGTTCAGGAACCGCAAAGGTGAAACAAACCAAAATGGGAGGTATGTACAGGCCTACAAAAGAAGGCAGGATGTGGAGCACAAGACACACCAGGAGATAGAAAAGGTGTGTAAGAAAGAGGGATTTCGATGTGCAGGTGGACTGGGAAAATTATGTTGATAGTGGATTGCAAGAAAGGGAATTTGTCAAATGTGTACGAGATGGCTTTTTGGAGCATTTTGTCGTGCAGCCCACTAGGGAACAGGAAATTTTGGATTTAGAGATGTGCAATGAGACAGACTTGATGAGGGAGCTTAAGGTGAAGGGACCCTTAAGAGACAGTGACCATAATATTATAGCTTTTACTCTACAATTTGAGAAGGAGAAGCTGCAATCAGATGTAACGGTATTACAGTCGAATAAAAGCAACTACAGAGGCATGAGGGAGAAGCTGACCAGAATTGACTGGGAGAGGAGCCTAGCAGGAAAGACAGTGGCACGGCAATGACAGGAGTTTCTGGGAGTAATTCAGGGGACACAGCAAAAACTCATCCCTAGGAAAAAGAAGCATGGTAAAGGAAGGATGAGGCAACCACGGCTGATTAAGGAAGTCAGGGATAGCATGAAAGCATATAATATGGTGAAGGACAGTGGGAAGCCTGCAAAGACCAACAGAGCACAACAAAAAAAGAAATGAGGAGGGAGAAGATTAAATATGAGAGTAACCTAGCCAGTAATACAAAAAAAATTGCAAGAGTTTCTTTAGATATATAAAGGGCAAAAAAGAGGCAAAAGTGGAAATTAAGCTGCTGGAAAATGATGCTGGAGAAGTGGTCATGGGGAACAAAGAAATGGCGGAGGAACAAGTACTTTGTGTTGGTCTTCACGGTGGAAGACACAAATAACATACCAAAATTTCGAGAGAGTCAGGGACAGAGGTGAGTATGGTGGCCATCACCAAGGAGATGGATAAATCACCTGGACCAGATGGCCTACACCTCAGAGTTCTAAAGGAGATAACTGAAGAGATAGTGGAAGCATTAGTGATGATCTTTCAGGAATCATTAGAGTCAGGGAGTGTCCCAGAGGACTGAAAATTCAGTAATGTAACCCCCCTGTTTAAGAAGGGAATAAGGCCAGATGACGGTAAGTTACACACTGATTAGCCTGACCTCGATCATTGGTAAGGTCATGTGAAAGATGAGATTTCTGAATATTTGGAAGTGTATGGTTAAATTGGGCAAAGTCAGCATGGCTTCATCAAGAGGAGGTCATTCCTGACAAATCTGTTAGAATTCTTTGAGGAAGTATTGAGCAGGTTAGACCGAGAGCGAATGGATGTTATCTACCTGGACTTCAAGAAGGCCTTTGACAAGGTGCCATACAGGAGGCTGCTGGGTAAGATAAGGGCCCATTGTGTTAGAGGCAAGGTACTAGCATGGATAGAAGATTGGCTGTCTGATAGAAAGCAGAGAGTGGGGATAAAAGGGTCTTTCTCAGGATGGCAGCCAGTGACTTGTGGTGTTCTGCAAGGGTTAATGTTGGAACCACAACTTTTCACTTCATACATTAATGATCTAGATGAAGGAACTGAGGGTGTTCTGGCTAAATTTGCAGATCATACATAGATCGGTGGAGGGATAGGCAGTATTAAGGAGACGGTGAAGCTGCAGAAGGATTTAGACAGGTCAGGAGAGTGGGCAAAAAAAGTGCCAGATAGGATACAATGTGGGAAAATGTGAGGTCATGCACTTTGGTAGGAAGAATAGAGGCATAGACTAT